GGAAGCCAAAATGGATTCAGGTGCAGGAGAAACCAGACTTCGAAGTCAAAACCGCAAAAAGCCTACGACACTCGGGATTCCCAAGCCGTCTCCGATCCAAGTACTAACCGAGCCCAACGTTGCTTAACTTGGCAGATCGGACGGGATGCCGTGCTTTCAACGTGGTATGGTCGTAGGCGAAGGGGTGACGATTGGAAGGGGAGAAGAACCAGAAGTTTGCATAAATGGCGTCAAAGTTGCGATATTCCAACCTACGTCCACACTGAACGATAACTTCCTGTCGAGCGGTTTTTGGGTTGTGACGAGCCGTAGCCCCTAAAATATTATAGCTTGTTGACGGTCTGCAAACGGATGACTATTCGTGCCTTTTCCATTAACTTTTTTGAAACTTACTGGTCAGGATTTCGCATACCGGACGCTGTAGGGCGCGAGGTGTCTTGTCATTGACCGGCATTTGAAAATCTATGTAAGCCAAGCAAGTCACGGTTAATTTATTCACAATTCTAGCTATGCTACTTCTACGCATCGAGAGCTTTGGTTGCCCGTCTTATGCTTATTTCCCGTAGCTCGAGCAGGTGGCGCAGCATTGTGTTGCCATCAGGGTCGAGTAGAGCGAGTTCGAGCACAGGTAGCTAAAACAAAACGCTGCTCTCAAGTCTAGACCCTCTACCTCAGGGACGAGCAGTCCGAGACGCCGGTGGAAGGGTTGGTTTGGTCGATACAAGCTAAAAGTTCTGATATTAAGCGAAAAAGTAGCCCTACTTGACGAGTAGCTTGAAGTCGTAGAGCAGAATCCGCACGTCTTCCGGCACTGGACGGCCATAACCGAGTAGTAGGTAGAGTCCCCACAGAGTGAGGCGCGTTTCGGGCAGTCTGAGACTCCGGTCACCGGGTTGAGCAGATCGACACAGGTGGCTAAATGAGACTGCTTATTATAGCAGCTTCATCTATTATAGCTAGCATTCCTTCTAGAGTGTTGATATACTATTCTTCTGCGTTATTCCAGCCTTCAAAGTACTACCTGTCGTGGTTCGTGTAGTGGTACTGGTTGTGGTGACCACAGCAATGGCAGCTCCAGGGCAGCATTCGCCGATGCCGTCGACCTGTACTCCGACACAAGTTGTATCACTGTCGATTGGGCACGCTCCAGAAAGGCAGGCTGAAAATGAGAAATTGATTTGATAATATGTTTTGATAGCCTCCACGACTAGTTGCGCCACATTCTAATCAACTTACGTCCGATAGATCCTCCGGTGCAAATAAACTCGCGTCCCGTGGTACCGTCAATAAGATTAGGTCCCGCACAGCATCCATCTGCCGTGCAGACAGTTCCTACCGGCCCGAGACCGCTGCAGCTCCCAGAAACGCATGCTAAATGATGGTACATGCTTGAATAGCTTGATACTACTGGCTAGGATATGAACCAATGACCCACGTCCAATTGAAGATGAGCAGTTTAGGGCTGCTGTCGTGCCGAAGAAGACAGTTGCAAGGAAGATGATGGCTTTCGGAGACATGACTAAAACACTGTTTTTTTAGTGCTCGGCGGCTTACCCTGAGATGGAAGCTGTTGGATATGAGGGGATGCTGATTTCCATTCACTGTCTGGGGCTTTTATAGGGTACGAAACAGGAAGAACCCCGGGATACAAAGCACTGGCCTTCATGCAGTCGCATCCAAATGTCAGGCCTAGTCAAATAATTTCTCTTTGGACCATAGGAGAGCAACATGTCCCGGTACAGACGAACAGCCGGTTGCCTCATTTCAGGCATCGTTGTATTTGCCGACATTGCCTCTTAAAAATTATGAATATTTTCCAAAAAGAACAAGGTCGGATATGATACGTGAAGAACTGGCAGGTCCAGTGAATGAAGCTTCAAGGCTTCAAAGCCCAAAAGAAATGACACCAGATAACAGGGAACACAATTCCAAATTCGATTAGGGTGTTTTATCCGTATCCCATCCTGCTTCCCAGCACTTTTTAAGTATGGGTATCTGTAGCTTTAAGACTTTCTGACCGTCTTGGCCTTTCCCTAATAGCATCCAACAATGCTCCCCGATGTTGTTAACGCAAATCGACAATGAAGCCTGAAACAAGACAACCGGCTGTTCGTCTGAAAAGCGACATGTTGCTCTCGTTGAGTCCAGATAGAGACTATTTGTCTAGGCGCGACATTTGGTTGCGACAGCATGAAGGCCAGTTCTTTGTATCCCGGGGTTCTTCCTGTTTCGTACCCTATAAAAGCCCCAGACAGTGAATGGAAATCAGCATCCCCTCATATCCAACAGCTTCCATCTCAGGGTAAGCCGCCGAGCACTAAAAAACAGTGTTTTAGTCATGTCTCCGAAAGCCATCATCTTCCTTGCAACTGTCTTCTTCGGCACGACAGCAGCCCTAAACTGTTCATCTTCAATTGGACGTGGGTCATTCATTCACCAGTGGAAAAAACCCCCTCCCGGCCTTTTTCCCCCCCCCCCCCCCCAACCCAAAAAAAAAAAAAAAAAAATTTTTTTTTTTTGGGGGGGGGTTTGGGAGCGGGGACCAAAAATTTTTTTTGTGGCCCGGATCAAGACGGCGGGGGAAAAGGAAAATGAGGTGGGGGGCCTTGTTTTTTTTTCCCTCCTTCCCCGGCCCGCCCGGGGCCGGGGCCGGGCCCCCCGCCCCCCCCCGGGCCGGGGCCCCGGGGCGGGCCCCCCCCCCCCCCCCCCGGGGCGGCGTCCCCCCCCCCCCCCCGGATCCCGGCCCCCCCGGGGCCCGGAAAGGCAAAAAACCCCAAAAACGCGCCCCACAAAAACGGGGATATTCCAACAACCCGAACCCCGCCCAAAACACCCCCCAGCCCCCGGGCCGCCCCCCCCCCCCACGGAGACACCGCGGGCCAGGCCCCCCCACACCCACACCAAAGAGGAAAGAAACAGGGGGGGGGAGACAAAAAAACAGAGAGGCGACCAACCCAGGGGGAGGGGACAGAAAGAAAAACCCAAAACCAAGAAAAAAGGGCCGGACCCCCCATAAAAAAAAAAAAAAAAAAAAAAAATAATCCCCATAAAAAATAAAAACTAAATATTATTAAGAGAAAACACCCCACACTCACAAAAATAATAAAAAAAAAAAAAAAAACACCAAAAAAAGCACAAAAAAAAATTTATAAAAAAAAATAAAAAAAACAAAAAAAAAAAAAACACAAATATAAAAAATAAAATAAAAAAATATAATAATAAATTATTATAACAAAAAAAAAATAAACAAAAAAATCCAAAAAAAAAATTACAATCCAAATAAACAACCCTAAAAAAATATTTAATATAAAAATTTTTTAAAAAAAAATTTAAAAAATTTATTAAAAAAAAAAAAAAAAGAAAAAAAAAAAAAAAAAAAATAAAAAAAAAAAAAAAAAATAAAAAAAAAAAAAAACATAAAAAAAAGGAAAAAAAAAAAACAAAAAAAAAAAAACAAAAAAAAAAAAAAAAAAACCAAAAAAAAAAAAAAAAAAAAAAAAACAAAAAAATATAAAAAAAAAAAAAATATCCTAGCCAGAAGTATCAAGCCATTCAAGCATGTACCATCATTTAGCATGCGTTTCTGGGAGCTGCAGCGGTCTCGGGCCGGTAGGAACTGTCTGCACGGCAGATGGATGCTGTGCGGGACCTAATCTTATTGACGGTACCACGGGACGCGAGTTTATTTGCACCGGAGGATCTATCGGACGTAAGTTGATTAGAATGTGGCGCAACTAGTCGTGGAGGCTATCAAAACATCTTATCTAATCAATTTCTCATTTTTAGCCTGCCTTTCTGGAGCGTGCCCAATCGACAGCGATACAACTTGTGTCGGAGTACAGGTCGACGGCATCGGTGAATGCTGCCCTGGAGCTGCCATTGCTGTGGTCACCACAACCAGTACCACTACAAGAACGACGACAGGTAGTTCTTTGAAGGCTGGAATAAGGCAGCAGAATAGTATATCTACACTCTAGAAGAAATGCTAGCTATAATAGATGAAGGTGCTATAATAAGTAGTCTCATTTAGCCACCTGCGTCGATCTCCTCAACCCAGTGACCGGAGTCTCGGATTGCCCAAAACGCGCCTCGCTCTGTGGAGACTCCACCTACTACTCGGTGATGGCCGTCCAGTGCAGGAGGACGTGCGGATTCTGCTCTACTACTTCTAGCTACTCGTCGAGTAGGACCACTTTTTCGCCTACTACTGAAACCTTTAGCCTGTGTCGACCAAACAAACCCTTCAACCGGCATCTCTGACTGTTCGTCCCTGAGGTAGATGATCAAGGCTTGCCAGCAACTTTTTTATTTAGCTACCTGTGCTCGAACTCGCAATACGCCACCTTGATGGCAACGCAATGTTGCGCTACGTGCTCGAGCTATGGAAAATAAGCTACGGAACGCCCGGGTTTAGCCATTGTACATAGCAGGGTTCGGCTGGCTTTAGACTTTGGTTTAGAATAAATTTTCGTGCTCTACCCCTTGAAAGGCACAAAAAAATCGCCATGATTGTCTAACAATGAGAAACGAAACGTAAAAACGTGGGTTTCTCCAAACTACCTCTAGTATCAACAACTCGGGATCAACACACAACTTACTTTCTTTAATGTTTCCCATGTTCCCGTCCCATTTAATCAGTTTTTCCGGTGTCCTTTTACAGATCAACTCAAAACATTGTCAGCCATACCAGTAATCAATTATTTATGAGCAATAGTTCATAGAGGCCAATTTACCCGCAAACCGTTCACCAAAACAAGCCGCCGACGGCCTTTTTGACCCGCTGCTAATTGGGTATGCATGTCAAAAAAGTTATTAATTCCCGGGGTACTCCGGGGGCGATCGCCTTGACAACCACCTGGCCCCAGTCATTTGCCGCGGCTTATTTGCCATTTCGCGTTCCAGGCTATAATTTGTCGGACTGGATACCGGAAGCGGGGATACTTTACCATCGACCTTCTGAATTGGATTTCTTATTTAATAACTATTATAAGTGATCGATAATGCATTCCGATCCTTACCTACTCTTTATGGTCGGGAGCCAGCAGACCAAGGAAATATGGGATACCGATATACCGGTGGCTATTGTAATGATATTGGTAAGTGGTTTAATAAACCCATTTAACGATATTTTTTCTAAATATGCTTTTTTAATTAAGTATGTTTTTATAGATATCTATCGCTGGTATAATAACGTCCGCCCTAGCGATCTGCTACATCCAGAAAAACGAGCGCTTGATAGCGTTCATCAAGTTTTGCTTCCATATAGCCTTGGCTATAATGATCGTTTTCCACCTGTTTACGATCTACTTTGCCGTTTGTATACTAAAGTAAGTTATTACTAAGCTTTTTAGTTATAGTGACGTCACAGTTTTGAAAATTACTGATTTTCAACGTAAACAAAAAGTCTTAAAATACAATTGTTCAGGCCTTTTTGCCTCCACACCGACATCTACATTTCGCACCAAATTCTCGCTGCGTTTCGCGAAAGCGCCAAGCCAGCCATCGTCGCCATTTTTCACCTCATTACGCTGACGAGGTTTGACGCCGAAGCTAACCAATAATCTACTCCTTCTCAGAAGTACCCAATTCTTCGTCATGGCCGAATTCCCGGGCTTCTACCGCTTTCTCTCGTTCCCCTATTGCTTAGGACTACTCGTACTTTTCAATGCTCCGACCATGTTTTGTATTGGGCAAGGTAAAAAATTTGGTGCTTTCGCATTATCGGGGGGGGGGGGGATTTTTCCTTAGCCAATTTTATAAATATCAATCGCCGAAATGTTTCTAAACCGTTTTTTTTTAGTATTCTTAAACCTAAAAATGTGACAAAATTTTATTAAAAGTACAAAAAAACCTCGATATTTCGAAAAATTTTTCAAACTTTTTGGATATGTTTCTAGCTAAATGATGATTTTATCGTACTAAAAGTTTTTTAATACCAAATTATATAATTGATTAGATTAAGAAAATTTAATTAAAAGTATTTGATGTGAAATTAAAGCACTCGTTATTAAGTTACTAGGCCTTTCTAGAACAATACAAAATTTTTTTTGTATAGATTTATAACGTATTTTCAGAACCCCTCACCGACCTCAACAACTCCACCTTCATATACACGGGCTTCTTCTTCGACACCAACTACTACGCCCAAAATATAATCATTGTAGCCTACACCCCATACCGACTTGCAAGTACCTTCGAAGTGGTGGTAAAGTACACATGTATCCTGGCGCTACTGGTCGATATTTTCACGCTCAAACGATACTCGGCTTACGCGGTAAGTCCACTACATCATTGACCTGAAGTCCTCACCTCAGGCCTACGATAACGGGAACCAAAAACACGCAGACGTGAAGTATGCACTGCAGGTGGGTTTTTGGCATGTGACCCCAACGTGTTTTTCTTAGATGATCACATTACACGCGCTCTCGTTAGCGGTTCTTTTCGAAGAAGTGTGGGGAAATATTATTTTTGGGATTTTTGATGACCTATCCATGTTCGCCGCCTGGGAGCTGTTCCCGGAGATTTGGTTGTTGATTACTGGGTAACTTTGTAGGGTTAAATAAATCAAAAATATTATTTAGAATGGTGATCGTCTACTACAATCATCCGGAATCCAAAAAACGCCGAAGACGCGAATCGAAAAAGCCAAACGGGATCCCCATTGCTGTTTTTTCGCTGTACCAAAAGTCGCCGATGGTCGATTTTCGATAATAAAAATGTTGGGCGGTTTTAATTTTGTAAAAAATCAAAACACTGGCTACGTTTTTCCTTATCACAAGTTTATAGGGGTTTTACAAAGTAAAAACCATGTAGGAAGTGCATTCCGAAACGCTCCAATTGACAGCAACCGGCCGCGCGAAGCCTAAAAATCCAAGGGAACTCGGAAAAGGTTTTTATTTAAAATTTTAATTTTCGCAAATCATTTTCAAACATTTTTGTTGTTTAATAAATTAATTTAGCTTTTTCAGTCCTTCTAGATCCCTAGATTATCGCATTTTCAAGCCTTACATCTTGTTTTTCGCCAAGCTGGCTGAGCTTTTCGATCATTAGCCTTCATTTTTTTACTTCTTTCTTTTCCTGCCAACCCACTTTTTCCCCGTAAACATTTGTCGTTTTTTTCTTGCGGAAGGCCTTGTGGATTGTGCGCAGTCGCCCGGCGGGGATCGCGCGCCTCCCGCTGACAGCTGTGCGCTGCCCGCGCGCCCGGCCCCCACCCCGTTCTTTATTCAAATGGTCGTTTCCCCCACTGGTCCGTTGCTTCTTTAGCGATCTGGGCTCGCCTGATCGATTTTGAGCTCGCAAGTAGCTCTAGCGTGTTCACAGATTTTCAGAAAGTAGCTTGTGGAATTTTATCAGTTTCAGAACAGTTTCTTTTTTGATTTTAGGTTCCGTTCGAATTCCTTACTGGTTACTAGGCGAATAGTTCTGCAATTTTTATGCGGGAATTTTTGTTTAAACTTGTAGGAGGCGTCATTCTTGCCTCTGTCTTTCATGATGACTCAGGAGATGCCGCAACACATCTTGAACATTTTTGTGCCTTTGCTTCAAATTTCTACGTTCTTTTTCACGATTTTGACCTCGCCTAAACCCTATTTTTTCAGTGGTTGCCATGGCGGACGTGATGAAGAAGCCGCTGGTCGAGCCGCCGATGCCGCCGGCTCACAAGAACTCGCTCAACGACTCGATCGGCATCGACACCATACGCACCATCGAGCTGAACGGCCATGTCGGCTTCGACGCCATGCCTCACCAGCTCGTCCGGAAAGCCGTCGACCAGGGGTTAGTTTCCGTTACAGAATCAATATTTTTTTTAGCTTTCAATTCAACTTGATGTGCGTGGGCGAGACGGGAATGGGCAAGACCACGCTCATCGAGTCACTTTTCAACATGAAGCTCGAGTTTGACGCTTGTGAACACGAATTGACCACTGTCGAGTTGCGCTCGAAGACTTATGGTAAGATTTTCTTTTCTTGCGAAAACTTAGCTCTTTTTAGAAGTCTATGAAGGTGGGATTCGCCTGAAGATGACCATCATCGAGACGGCTGGCTTCGGGGATCAGCTTGACAAGGAGAAAAGGTTTTTCTTTAGGAAAACCTCGAAACTATTTTTTTAGTGCCGGCGTGATTGTGAAGCACATCAACGAGCAGTTCGAGAAGTACTTAAAAGAAGAATTGAAGGTGTGAGAATAGTTTTTGCTTTTGATCTAGATTTTTTATTAGATTCGTCGCCAAATGCACCACTACCAAGACACCCGAGTGCATGCCTGTCTCTACTTCATATCGCCGACCGGACATGGGTAATTTTCTGCAAACAAACGAATTATTTTACTTTAGACTAAAAGCGCTGGACCTCGTGACGCTGCGAGAACTCAGCAAGCGCGTCAACGTCATCCCCGTCATCGCCAAGAGCGACACCATCAGCAAGGATGAATTGGCCAGATTCAAGTCGAAGGTATGCTCTAGTAAATTGGTTTGCATTGCTTCTTAGATTCTTTCCGAACTGACGCAGCACAAAATCGAGGTCTACCGCTTCCCCACCGACGACGAGACGGTGGCCGCCGTCAACATGGAGATGAACAACTGCGTCCCGTTCGCCATCGTCGGCAGCATCGACTTTGTGAAGAAGGAGAACGGGAAGCTCGTGCGGGCCAGGCGTTACCCTTGGGGTATAGTGGAAGGTATAAATTTTTGGGGTTACGGTTGAAAATTTTGCCTTTTTCCGGGTTCTGGTTCGTTATCGGGGGGTTGGGGGAAGAATTATTAAAACAGTTTTTTAAAGATGTGAAATTACTTGTCATTTTTGGTCTCAAAAATTCAGCACTTTGCGCAAATTTTGGTAATTTTTAGCTACTTTTTCGATAATGTTTCGACAATTAAGATGCTAGTAAAATACTTTGGTAGTACGTAGTACACCCCCTCGATAACGAACCAGCTCCCTTTTCCGTACCCCCAATCAAAAACCTGCCGGGCTATGCCTAAGCATGTGTACTTCTTCTCCCGTGCCTCGTTGCACGGGTGAGAGTTTCCAGCTAGACGTTGGGTGCCCGCTGTCGCAGCGGGCTGCAGGTGCCCGGGTTCCGGTGCTGCCGGGAGGGTTGCTCGCCCATTCGGACATCCCAGCCCTCCGCAGTGCCATCGTGGAGCCGGGGCGTCGGGGTACGGATAAAACATGGTTAGCTCCCTTTGAACAACTCCTGCGCAGCCCCGAATCCCTCGCGGCTACAGGTCGGGGTTTTCCGCTTCGCGGAGGGAGCAAACATTTTCAAAAACATTTCGCACAGCTCCGAAAAACATAAGCTTTTTAATCTCAAATTTCCTAGTGGAAAACGAGCAGCACTGCGATTTTGTGAAGCTGCGCGAGGCGCTACTCCGGACGAACGTCGACTCGCTCCGTGATCGAACTCATACGGTATATTTTTTTAAAGGTTTATCTTTTACGGTCTTTTTAGGTGCTTTACGAAAACTACAGGCGCGAACGGCTACGCGAGATGAGCGTCGGCGACGGTGACACGGGACCCAGGATGGCACAAGCTTGTGTGCAGGTACATTCAAGGATCTTTTCACCTCAAAATTTTAGAAGTCTAAAGAGTTCACCTACGAGATCCAGCGCAAGGACGCCGAGCTGCGCGAGGAGTTCAGCCGCCGGTTGACGCAACGGGAGGGCGAGCTGCGCCAGGAGGAGGAGACTGTAGGCATCATTTATTTTATTTATTGTTTATTTTTAGCTCAACGTCCGCATGTGCCAAATCGAGAAGGAGTACGAGGCCCAAATCAAGGTGAATACTTTTTGAATCTTTGGTTGTTCTGGTCTAAATTTTCTTGAGTTCAGATATTTATTGTCACGTCATCGAAAGTATTTTAATAGCCTTCTCAGTAAGATCCAACTATATTTTAAGCGGAACCATGTAGCAAAATTAAAAAATTAGGATTATTCTTGAAAGCAACGTGTTATTTTTTATAGATTTTTACAGTTTTAATTGTTTTTCATAACAAGATCCGTTGAGAAATGAAAGCAAAATGAGCCCCGTTTTGCGCATCTGAATCTTGAAATTTAGGCAATCGAAGCCGAGATGAAGCTGCTCATTGACGAGAAGACGCGCCTCGAGTCCAAGACGCTGAAGCGCGGCAAGAAATAAGCACTCTACCTCTCATCCCCGCCTCAAAATATCCGTCAGCCCATGTATTGAATATCTATCTTTTCCCAATTTGTGCCGTGTCGCCTCTTCAATGTCCGCCCACCAGCCTTCAATCTTTGGCCCTTGTCCCCCTCCCGCCCTTCCCCAGGTTTATGCCCCCCGCCCGCATCGTCGTCTCCTGCTGTGAACAGTGTTTGTGCACAAAGTTTGTGAATCGAGTGAAAGCTAAAATAAATGTTGTCCTGGTACGAAGCTAGATGGGAGGGTATTAATGAACTACTTTTTAGGTTTCAGGGGAGGCATGTTAATACGTGTGTTGTTCCGTGTCACACCGCGTTCCACTCCTGACGCCTTCTAGGATCTCCCTGACAATGTTCACTTTACATAGTTTTCCCCGAACGGCGATGCCAAAAACTGAAAAACACCAGCATATGCCCGTTTATATAGAGCTCTCTCACTTCCGGTTTACGCTAATTGTTCCCTAACAAAGGGGAGATCTTCACGAAAACATGATTTAGTATCGAAAATCTGCTGTTTCGATGATTTGACATGCAGGCAGTCGTCTCAAGAACATTACGCGTTTGATGACGTATCAAACGCACCCTGTAATTGTGATGTCAGTAATGTCTGAACACGATTTAGCGACGGGAAAACCCCGCGGCATCGGAAGGCGTCCGAATTGGCAACTGAAATTTGCATGCACCGGTAGTGCGGCCGATTTGCAAGCGACTCCGGCTTTTGCATCTTCGTTAGCTTGCCTTCTTGTCCCAAATGGCAAAAAATTCACCTCGCACGCCATTCATCTGCGACTTGGTCAAGATGGTCTCCCTTATGGCGCCGCTTCTGCTGCTCGTCTTCGTCGGTTCGGTCGCCCCCGATGATGAAGAGACCGTGGGTACATTAGCACTTTTTGAAAACGGCATCTTGCTCACAATTTTTGGAGCTATTGATGTTTGAGGGGGGCATCTTTTTTCTAGGTCTTCTATATATCTAGGTCTAGGCTTAAGCTTAGCTTTAAATTTGCTTACGCTTGGCTGAGACTTAGCTTATGCCTAGGCTTGGCTTAGGCTTAGGCTTAGCTTAGGCCTAGGCTTGGTTTCGGCTTAGCTTAGGCTTAGGGTACTAGTATACTTTGGGGGGGCCAAAAAAATTTTTCAGCCAAAATTTCTCATTTTCGATTATTTTGTTCAGTTTTTCGTGCTGAATCCAATGCAAGTGTTTTCAGACTTTTTATACCATGTTTTCTAGTATTAATTAACTATTGATATTACAAGTAATTTCAATAGTTTTTTCAGTAGTATAGCGTAGCACAAGCCGCAGAGAAGCCTAAGCCTAACCTGAGCCTAAGCCGAAGCAGGAGCCAAAGCCTAAGCCTAAGTCTGAGCCTGAGCCTAGGCCAAAGCTTAAGCCTAAGCCTAAGCCTCCCATACGATCCATTTTTCAACTTTTGGTCGCATGTATAAGAGATCCACCCCTGCGAGTAATTGTTCTTGTTGCCTAATTGTTATGTTGTTGCAATAACAAAAACGTCTGGAAACACTTGCATTCGATTCAGCATGAAAAACTGAACAAAATAGTGCAAAACGAGAAATTTTGGCCGAAAAAATTTTTTGGCCCCCCCAAAGTATACTAGTACCAGGCTTAGTGTAGGCTTACATTAGGCTTCGCCTAGCCTTAGCTTAGACTTAGCCTAGAGCTAGCTTAGGATTAGCTTAGACTTGGGCTTAAGCCTAGTCTCGGCTTAGGCTTGGCTTAGGCTGGGCTTGGCTTGGTTAGCTTAGGCTTTGAGACAAGCTTAGGCCGGAAAAAGCCCCTAAAAAAATGCCCCCCCCCCCAAACATCATTAGCTCCCAATTTTTTCTTGATCAAGTTAGCTAGTGGTCGAGAAACTCCACCTAAAAACGACTGCTTGTAAGCTATGCTGGGCTGAGGGGGGACTGAACCGTAGCCCTTCAATCTTACGTTTCCAGACGATCTTCTGCGACGTCACCGGCCATCCGTGGCACCCCGTACATGGATGCAAACAGTTGACGCGCCAGATCGCCCCCGAAACCAACGAGCGACCCGGGGGCGATTGGGGCGTAGCCTTCCAGGAACGGACCAAGGACGCTGCCGGCAAAAAGTGGAGAGTCTATTACGGTAAGCGTCCCACGCCCAACGGGGCCTTTTTGGTGACTGTCGGCGATTCGGAAGGGGGGTTTGCTCCGCTCTTACTTCGATGAATCTCCGAATTTCATTGCAGGGTGTGCTGGAACACCGCAAGCGCCCGACTACGTGAGCTACTGCCGCTTGGAGTGGCTTCCTGCTGAAGGTGGTTGTTCCCGCCTGCTTCACTGCATTGTTAGCGAGGACGGTGCTAGACTGTTAACCTGTTTCAGAAAATGCCGCTAATTCCGATCCGCGCGGCTGCTGGCAATATTCTTGGAAGCGTGACCCCGAGATCCGGGCCACATGTGGTGAGCTTCTCTTGCAATCCCTCAAAAAAATATTTGGGTATTTTGGAATTTTGATGCTCGATCGAATGGCACTAAAGAAATTTTGAAAACTTCAAAAGAATATTTTAGAGAACCCGGTGACAATGAAGAACGATGGAGACCTGAAACCGGACAATTATCCGAAAGAGCCGCGCCGGCTGGTCGCGCCCGAGAGCCCGGGCATGGCGGAGCTCATGGCCATCTACGTTACCAGCGACACGGTGGATACGGCTTAATGTCATAAGGCGGGGGAAGCGATTGTCTCGAACCCGGCAAAGGTTGCTTAACGGGGGGTGGCAAGGAATAACGGGGGATGGAAAATAATTTTGCCTTTATAGGGACTGGTTGTGCCTAATCAAGCATGTCATCGGATAGAGCGTCAAAAATTCTACTATGCTATTTAATTCCTGCCCGAAATACCATTATGCAAAATGATTACTTTGTTAAGCTAAAAAGTTTAATGAATTAAAAACATACAAACTAAGGTTTTTCGGGCTGAAATTACACATCTTATTATAGTTTTAGACGCGCTATCCATGGCGCTTTGAAAATAGCGGGATAGCTTACAAAAGTTGTTTGCACCCCCGTTATTCCCCCCCCCACCGTTAAGCAACCTTTACCTAAAAATCGTCACTTCTAAAAACCATTGCTTGAAAAAGTTATTTCTGGAAACGAACGCTATCCATATCACCGTTACAGAGCAACGTCGGCTTCCAGGCCGAATTCACGCGAGCTGATGATTTTGTGTATAAGGTATAATTTTTTAATAAGGTTGAAAGGCGGTAAAAAACGTAGAAACTTTACAAAATTTGATTAAAAAACACAAAGAAGCGATTTTTCGCCAAAAAATTGCCGTTATTGACCAAAACGTCGACTTTTTGAAAATAATTTCAAATTTTTAGAGAGTTTTTCTAGCCAACTCTGGTTTTATTTTCCTACAAAAAAAAAGTATATGAAAATACTTCCTATTAGGTTGCTCGTCATTTCTAGATTTTAGTCAAAACGCTATTGAGATACTTTTTGTTAAGTTACTATGCATTTTATAAGACATAAATTGCATGTGGAAACAAGCGAATTAAGCTTTTTGATGTTTCGGGCTTGAAAACGATGACAAAAACATGGCTTATTTTTTAGATAAGAAAGAAAATCCAAATTTTAGATCATTGGCTGCGCCCTCCTCGGCCACTCTTCCGGCCTAATCATGATTATGTTTGTAGTCCGACAGCAATATATCCTCCCCATTGGACATCCCTTTAAAATGAAATTAAGGTACCATTACGATACCTAGAAATCTCCGGTTTCAGAACGAAAGTCCTGCTCTACCTCTTGCTCCAAATTTTGCCCTACTGTCACTCCATTCTGGGGCTTTTATATATGGAAAAATTTAATGATTTGAGCATTACGCGGCATTATTATTTTGCGGTAATATTAATAATCAAATCCTGGTAATTATTGAGGTTTTAGAAATATCCAGCGCTCAGAAATTTCATAGCTCACCCTGGGTTTTATTCCCTACTTCCCGATGATGCCTTTACGATAGCTTGCCATATGTTATTTTGGGCTGCAGTAGGGATGGTACTTGTGGGGGGTACGTCAAATTTGTTGATAAAGTACTTCTATCAACCTTAAAATAAGTATTACAAAGAATTAACCATTGCTTGGAAATAATCCAAATGATTCAAAAATTTTTGTTAGTCTGAAAATAGCTATTTTAAGGTATTCATATTATTTTAGGAGCTTGTCTTTCTTGCTTCCATGTCCTCGAATCGAGCAAGAGCCGGGTCAGCGCAAAGACGCTGGCTAGCTATAGGTGGATTATATTGAAGCTGGCGATTCAGGTATGCCCTCAAACGCTCTTGCACTCTCTCTCTCTCTCTCTCTCTCTCTCTCTCTCTCTCTCTCTCTCTCCCTTTCCCCTCCCCCTCTCTATGTCGCTCTCTCGCTTTCTCTAGCTTTCCCCCCCCCCCCCCCCTCTCTCTCTCTCTCTCTCTCTCTCTCTCTCTCTCTCTCTCTCTCTCTCTCTCTCTCTCACTCCTCACTCCCTCCCTCTCACTCTCGCCCTCTCTCACTCTCTCTCGCTCTCTCGCTCTGACTCTCGCTTTCCCTATCTCTTTCTCTTTCTCTCTCTCTCTCTCTCTCTCTCTCTCTCTCTCTCTCTCTCTCTCTCGCTCACCTTCTCACTCGCTCTATCGCCAGATTTTTAAGGTCTGCATCCCGATGTTCACCTTATTGATCCCGGGTGCCTGCGCCGTATTCTTGTTTTTCCTGGAAGACCCAAATTGGATTAGTAAGTAATAATCAACTAATCACTACTTCGTCCCCTAGTAATAACCCCATTTGGAACGGGATTAATGGCCCAACACTCCCTATTATCGACCTGCATGTCCCTCTACCTCTACATACCTTACTCGAGCTATATTCGGGACGTTTTCGAGAGGTGTTTGTGGATAATTGTCACGGGTAAGCTAACCTGGCGTTATTCTAGGAAAACCATGGTCATACCAAGCATATCAATATATGCATTGCGACATTATTCTAGGAAAACGACGGCCCTCCTCGATCGAGACAAGTGGGGCGACGAGAGATCGATACTACCGTCGCCCTTCCGTTGCCGTGGTGGCAAATTCTGGAATATCGATGCACAAAATTAATAAAACGGGTTGAGCGGATTGAGGAAAATACAAAGTAATTACAAACATAAAAAATGAGCGTGTAAGAAATAGGAAGCATCTTTATAATTATTTTGTTAGCCATTGATGAGATGAAAAATCGTTTCGAATTCCAATTTTTACGAAAAATTCAATTTTTTTACAATTTTGTCATTGTGTTGTCTATTCGACGTATTCATAAAAGTACTAAAAATTGCTCAAAATTACCCCGTGCTACTTACTGCAGGAGTTCTTGCTGGTGCCTTGCGTTAAAAGTTGAGTCCCATGATCTACTCCAACTTACGCCCCCTGACGGTGGTATAATTGCTTGATAATACCTTCTTTTTAGCACGTCAAACGTTAAGTACTACACGTTACTCCAAATTACGCCGTCCTCGGGGTACCGTTTGTGTTTTTAACCCCGCTAAACATAGGTTGTACCATTTCGTACCCTGTAGCATGGTTGAATTTCTAACACCTCGCCGTAATGAGCAACACCACCCTTATTCTGATCAAGTCGCAATCAAGGCGTGATACTTTCGATGAATTATTGATGGAGGGACAACAGGTTTTTAGGCGACCGCATCGCCGAAATTCACCTGGCCGCTTGCACCTCAATGAGCACCCGATTATTATTTCGCGGGGAGCGATTTTTCGGTGTTTTGGGTCCTCGCAGTGTTTATAGTACTTTACGGAAAGTATTGAAGCCATCATTCGATGGCCGTTGACATGGGGAGCATTATATTCTGGGTAAATACCTCGTCGGAAATCCCGAAAGATACGAGCGAATGGGTATTCGATATCTTACAAGCGACCACGCGTAAGTATCGATTTTGGAGTAAATTTCGCATTTTTTTTAGTTCTTACCACTGCCGCAAACCTATTTGGCATCTATCTATTTTACTACCACTCCACGAATGCTATGCGTGGCTTTGGGACAGTGTTGTCAGCGTATCAGGTAGGTAATGTTAAGTAACGTAATGTAAATGTACTAAGCAATCAAGTAATGTAAGGTAAATTTTAACACAGACATATGCCCAAAAACTAGCTAAAATACATGTAATGAGACTAAAGCAGAGGTTGCAATCAACGCGCAGAGTCAGGACGTTGAAAGGAGCTCGACGTAGTCCAGTTTTGGCAACGTGACGCGCCTATCGACATGCTAATGCTGTGTGTTAGCGATCATACGAGGGGAAGCGCAGAGTAGAAGAGGCCGCTCAAAGGAGTATAGCGAGTTTAGCGAGGTAGCGCGTCTACTTACGCGATAAACCTGTGATTCAGAGAGGACGGGGAAACGATAACGATCCACTTAAATAGAGTACCGAAATACCTGCGCTTACCTAAAAATTAAACAAAGAAAATACCTTGATTTTTTACACTTTTTGCTTTAGTGTGCCGCCACCCTCACCGATCTGATGGTTGGCTCCGCGTTGGCGCCATATCTAATTTTTCCGTGCCCCGGCGGTCTACCCACCGGCTGGTTGAAGTTTTTTGGGGTCTCCACTTTCGTACAGTTGGTAAAATTCTTCTTTTAGATAGTTTAATCCATTGTTTTAAGTTTCTCGGCGCCCTATGCCTTGCCCAAATGATGTCCCTGATGGTGACGATGTTCATCGTCAGACAACAATACATCCTGCCGCTTAATACGTTTTTTAAATTGACTGAGCGGTAATGGGTTCGACAAAACGTCTATAACCTTAAATTTAGATCGAAATACGTTGTCTATACAATTTTAATGGTATCTCCAACGCTACATCTGATCGTGATCATGGTTTATTTTCGTCTTACCGAAGATTTTGAAGCAGCCAAAGAAATTTATCTACAAGTGGGTTTTGGGTTTGATACGTTGCTGTATCCTTTCTCTTATACTTCAACGTTACTCATTATACCACTCTTTTTAGCTCTACCCCAAGTTGAAGCAGTTCATCAAGGACCCACATTTCCTGGCCTTTTCCCCAAAAGCCGCCTGGATCCTGCTGTACAATATTGGTGTTTGGGTTTTTCTGGCTATTTTGGGCATTGCAGGTAATAAAAAAACACCCTCTTCACCAAAAATCGTTAGAAGCCTGTGTCACTTGTTTTTACGTCTTGGCAAAGCGAAAACGCAGCATAAGCCCAAGAACGCTCCGGACTTATCACCGCATCATTTTCAAAATCTTGATACAGGTGAGAATCTATGCAGAAAAACTATAAACGACAAAATCCAGGTGTCAATTCCGTTCATAACCTTACTTATCCCTATCCTTGGAGCGATCTATGTTTTTATGACCGATAACTTTGGATGGATTAGTAAGAAAATCAACTAGACATAACCTACTTTTTAGCCCTGATGCCGTTTGGTGTAGCTTTATTTGCCCAACATGCCTTCCTTTCGACACTAATGTCCATTTATTTATACCGTCCATATTATAGTTTTGTCATCCGGTTGTGTAAAAGTTTGATGAGAAGGATAATTCCACGTAAGATTTCTGACTGATTTCACCGGAAAACGAAATTTAGGGGCGGCGTTGACTGTATTTAAGATAAACGAAACGTCGTCGATACCTCCAGTAAAGGTAATTTGAACCCGAAGAAAGTTTACAACGAGTATCGTTATTTTAGGTAGCCCCAGCACGCCGGTTTAGCATGGCCATCTCGGCCAGCGTCTCATATTCATAGATTTCGATAACAACGAATAGAATAAATCCATTATTTTTATTCATGAACTGCAAAATAAATAAAAAGAACAAGATTTTGAAACTTTATCAAGTTTCCACCATACAACCCATGACGCATACGCTAAGAGGCCGCTACCGGACTTTCGTCATCATGGTGTAAAAGTGATGTTACAGCTTTTTGGGATTGAAAACAAAGTTCTCGAAGCAGTGATTCGTTCAAACCATTTCTCCTTTCTATTTTGCCTTTACAAAAGTTCCACGATTCCAATAAAAAGCTGAAATAACCGTTATTGGAACTGCAAGCCCTTTTTGGGGCCCCGGGCCAGGGCAACGCCAGCTGTCTCTGCACACTTACGCTCCCTATTTTGATTGGCAACTTTTGCTTTGCGAAATATTCGACGGTAAAACCTCCTAAAACTGGAATATTGGCTCCAAAATAGGTCATTTTATTGTTTTTCTCTTTGATAAACTTTGCTCTATGTAATTTCCGGAAGTAGCTTTCACCGAGTAGTTTTCCGCTAATTTTCAGCTCGTTTTCTTTGAGTCCTAAATCTTCAATATCAAGTCCAAAATTGATTATTTAACGGTTCTTGTCTTTCAAAACCCTTTATTTTATTGAATTTCGTCAATCTCATTTTACGAACAACTTCCCTCCAGCTTTCCAACTATATTTCATTTTTAGTTTTCAACTTGGGTCCCCACTACGAGCTTTGAACGCGAGATGGCCGTGCCAGCGGAGCGAAAAAAGGTTTTTTCATATTCGGTATTTTATGAAAAGCAATCTTTATTTAGGTAGCAGCCCTGCTCGCCGCAGAGGCCCGAATCCAAGAGAAATGGTACAACGCCGGCGTGTTCGAGTCGGACGCTGCAGAGGACTTGACGTAATAGCTCCTGAAAATTTTTCAATTTTCTTTCAGAAATAAGGAAAAATACCTGACGACTTTCCCGTTCCCCTACATGAACGGGCGTCTGCATCTTGGCCACGCTTTTACGGTGTCGAAATGCGAGGTGAGGAAATTAAGAACGTTAAAATGACGTTTTTTAGTTTGCCGTCGGGTTCCAACGGATGAATGGGAAGCGCTGCTTGTTCCCGTTCGGGCTTCATTGCACCGGAATGCCGATAAAGGTAAAAAAAGAATTTTGGAATCGAGAACCGTTTTTAGGCCTGCGCTGACAAACTGAAGCGCGAAATCGAGGTCTACGGAAACCCGCCAGTGTTCCCCGTTGAAGAAGAGGTGAAAGTCGAGGAGAAGAACGCCATCGATGAGATTATAAAGGACAAGAGCAAGGGCAAAAAGGTATTTTCTACAAAAATGTTATTATATAAACTTTTTTTACAGAGCAAAGCCGTGGCCAAGACCGGCGGCGCCAAGTACCAATGGCAAATCATGCAGTCGATGGGGCTCAACGACGACGAAATTCAAAAGTTTGCCGATGCTCACTATTGGCTCGAATATTTCCCGCCCCACTGCATCGCCGATTTGAAGAAGATGGGCGTGAAGGCATCCCTTTTCAAATGTTCTAATAATTGTTTGTAGATCGACTGGCGCCGCTCGTTCATCACCACCGACGTGAACCCCTACTTCGACTCGTTCGTCCGCTGGCAGTTCTTGAAGCTGCGCGACGCCAACAAGATCGAATTCGGCAAGCGCTACACGGTCTATTCACCAAAGGACGGCCAGCCCTGCATGGACCACGATCGCGCTTCCGGCGAGGGTGTTGGCCCGCAGGAGTACACGCTCATCAAGCTGAAGGTATACTTAATTTTGAAAATATGAATTTTAATTTGTAGGTTGTTGCTCCGCTTCCCAAGGCCCTGGCGGCTATCACGCAACCAATCTTCCTCGTAGCAGCCACGCTACGCCCCGAGACGATGTACGGCCAAACGAACTGCTACATCCACCCGGACATCAACTACTCGGCCTTCTACGTCGGCGAGAAGGAGGATCAGGTAATTTACTGGTTTTTTAAAACGTACCTTTTTTCAGGTATACATCGCTACGGCTCGCTCGGCCCGCAACATAGCCTACCAGGGGTACACCCCCGAATTCGGCGTCGTTCGCTACGTCGAGGGCCTCGAGAAGCTCCCCGGCAAGGATATCCTCGGCGCTGCCCTCGAAGCCCCGCTCTCCCACTACCCCAAGGTCTACGCCCTGCCGATGTTGACGATCAAGGACGACAAGGGAACCGGCGTGGTCACCTCCGTACCCTCTGATTCCCCCCGACGATTTCGCGGCCCTCGGCGACCTCAAGAAGAAGAAGCCGCTGCGCGAGAAGTACGGAATCACCGACGAGATGGTGCTGCCCTACGAGCCGGTGCCCATCATTGAGATCGAGGGCCTCGGCAAGCTGGCCGCTGTCGAAATGTGCGCCCGGCTGAAGATCGAGAGCCAGAACGAAAAAGGACAAGCTGGAGGAGGCCAAGAAGGAGGTGTACCTGAAGGGATTCTACGATGGGGTAGGAGCTCAACCTCTACTTTATAAAGGTTTTTCAGGTGATGCTCGTCGGCAAGTACGCGGGCAAGAAGACGGCCGAGGTGAAGCCCCAAATCCAGGCCGATCTCTTCGCGGCTGGCCAAGCCCAGAAGTACGTCGAGCCGGAGAAGAAGGTGATGTCGAGGAGTGGAGAAGAATGCGTGGTGGCCCTCTGCGATCAATGGTATATTTTTGCTTATTTAAACGACAAAGTAATCGAATATAACCCATTTTTTTGTCTAGTAGCAGAATTAAGCATTGTTGTAAACAGCTAAACCTTCTAAAACTTGGAAAACCGCTAAATTTTTGACTTTTAGAATTATTAAATTTATGAAACGTTTAAACCTATTTGCGACCTAATACGCCCATTTAAAAATAAATTTGCAACGTTTTGATTCGCAGGAATTGTAAAAAAGAATATAATGCTTTGGAAAATGTTTAAAAGTATGATCCTAAACTATTCATTTACAAATAAGATTTATAATATTTTTATTCGCTGAAATTGTAAGGAAAACAGTGTAAAAACGTTTTCCTCTACTTGCATAAAAAATTTATTTAGACCCGCGAAATTCCTAGAGTGACATTGAAACTAGCATTATTTAGGTACCTCAACTACCGTGACCCCGAGTGGAAGCTGCAGGCGAAGAAGGCCCTCGAGAAGCTTGACACCTACTCCGAGGAGGTCAGGAAGAGCTTCGACTACACGATCGACTGGCTGCACGAGTACGCGTGCTGCAGAAGCTATGGACTTGGTAGAATTTTCTCCTTTTTCTTGAATTGTCCATTTTAGGCAGCCGCCTCCCCTGGGACGAGCAGTGGCTGATCGAGTCGCTGTCCGATTCGACGATCTACAACTGCTACTACACGATCTCGCACCTGCTGCAGGGCGGTTCGCTGGAGGGGTCGAAGCCCGGACCTCTCGGTGTCGAGGCCAAGCAGCTGTCCAACGACTGCTGGGACTACATCTACCTGGGGAAGCCCTACAACGCCTCCACGATGCCGGTGGCCGAGGAGAAGCTGAAGAAGCTGCGCCACGAGTTCCTTTACTGGTATGTTCAACTAGATTTGCTATAAATTTGTCGAAATTGACTGTTTTCGACGTTTTATTTTGTCGAAATTTCATTTTGTCGGAGCTTGAATGCGTGAAATTTCCATTTACGAAATGTTTGAGACGAATTAATCGAGGCGAAAAAACGAAAAATTGAATTTCGACAAATTGAAATGTCGGCAAAATGAGATTTCGACAAAATGAAAATAAGCCGTTAAACCTTATCTAAAATTGTAATAATCTTGTTTTCAGGTACCCGATCGATATGCGCGTTTCGGGCAAGGATCTGGTCACCAACCACTTGACGTACCTCCTCTTCATCCACACCGCCATCTGGAGCGACCAGCCCGAATTTTGGCCCAACAGCATCCGCGCTAATGGTAGAGCTTCTTGACATTAAAAAATCCTTTCTTTTAGGCCATCTCCTGATCAACAACGAGAAGATGTCGAAGAGCACGGGCAACTTCTTGACCCTGGAGGATGGTATCGAGAAGTTCTCCGCCGACGGCATGCGCCTGTCGCTCGCTGATGCTGGTGATACGGTCGAGGACGCGAACTTTGTCTTCGACATGGCCGACGCGGCCATTCTGAGGCTGTACAACCTGTTGGAATGGGTAGAAAAACCATCATTTTCTTTATATTTTTTTAGGTAAAAGAAATGCTCGAGCTGCGCGAGAAGAAGGGCTTCCGCTCCCACTCGAACACGCACTTCATCGACCGGGTCTTCGACTGCGAGATGGCCACCCTGGTGCCGGAGACGAAGAAGCACTACGAGGCCACCAACTTCAAGGAGGCCGTCGTCAGCGGGTTTTTCAAGTTCCAGGTATTGAAAATTTTTGAAAATTGATTTTTGGGTTTTTAGGCTGCCCGGAATCGCTATCGTGACGTTTGTGGCAAGGATTCGGAGATGGACGAGGAGAGGATTTTCCGGTAATTTTAGGCTAAATATGTTTATACGTTTTTTAAGGTTTATCCGATACCAAGCCCTTATCCTGGCACCTATCTGCCCGCACGTTGCTGAACAAATCTGGGAGCTTTTGGGCGAGGTACGGTTTTGTTAAATTTTTATATACTAAAAAGTTCTGGGGTATTCTAATTAATTTATTATTTTTAGAAAGACTTCATCGTCAACCAACAATTCCCCGTCGTCGAGACGAGCGCTGATGTCGAAAGTAAGACAATTTGCAAAAAAAAAATGAATTTTTAACTTTTTTTAGTTCTCGAAAAATGGAACTACTTCCAAGAGGCCCTCACCGAGTTCCGTGAGAAGCGCACAAATCTCCTCAACCCCAAGAAGAAGGGCGCCGCCGTTCCGGAACCGCCAACCAGCGCTGTAATTTTTATCTAAACCCTTTAATGCTTTTTTTTAGGTAATTTACATCGCCAAGGACTACCCGGGGTGGCAACGACGGGTGCTCGAGATCTTGGGCGAGCTCTATGCGGTGAGAGGAGCTTACCGTAGATGAATCTGATTTTTTAGACAGGCAACGGCACGCTGCCCGACAACAAGCAGCTCGCGACGCTGATCATGAAGGAGGAGTCGCTGAAGAAGCACGGCAAGAAGACGATGCCCTTCGTGCAGGTCGTCCGAGAGCGGCTCGGTGTCAAGGTGATAATTTTACCCGTTTTGTCACCTTTACTGTTCTAGTTTGTAGTCAACATTTTTAGCCGTTGATTTCGCATTAACGGGGCTTGAATTTATCCATAGAAATCAAAATAGTGATTTTCGACGGCTTTTAATATTTCTAAACGTAAAAACATTGTTGTAAAGAACACTGGAAATCAGTTTTCGACGATATTTTGAAATTTCAGCACTTTTCTCGGTTTCCTAAATTACTTTTACGCTTGAAATATTGTTAAATTTAGTTGGAATGCTATTAAAACCATTGCGCTGAGGGTTTTAGCAATTCTGGACTTGTAGGAAAAGATTAGGTGCCGATTACAACTATATTTTGTTATTTCAGGGCGCCAGCGTGCTGTCCACCTCTTCCATGTTCGACCAGGCCGCCATTTTCGAGCAGAACCTCGAGTACCTGCTGAGCAACCTGCAGCTCAAAGAGGTGAGCTTTCTACTTGAATCTTTACAATCCATTTTTAGGTCTCCATCCGGCACACCGACGAGCCCGATGTGGGCGCCGTCTACCAGGAAAACGCCACCCCCGGCCATCCGATGATCGAATTCCCGGCAAATTAAATTTATCTATTCTTCGCCGTTTGTGTTTTTGTTGCTGTTCGTTTGCTGTGTGCGCGCCCCCCATCTTCTGTGGATCATTTGTTCTGTTGTGTTTTCTGATTCTGTCCACCACCAGCGCCCTTGAATAAACTTTTTACACTGTCAAATGGAAAATAACGCAAAATATTTGGAGGCCTAGAGACTTCAATAGGCTCCGCCGCCGATGCGGGTCTCTGACGGCTGGGCGTTGAGGATGCGGCGTTCCGTTTCTTGGCTTTCCAGCTGGAAGTGAGGATTTAAAAAGTTTTTAGGCTCTGCGTGACACTAAAAGCTTCAAAACTGCAAAAAAAACATAACTCACCTTGCTGCCGTGGACGCGCATCGAGACGCCTTGGTTGTAGCCGGCCAGCTCGCCGTGCGTCGCGAAAAGCTGGAAATCGGGAGAAGTGGCGCGGCGGAAGTCGTAGAGCACATCAGGGGTTGCAGAGGCGAATTCTCTAAATTTTGCTGATGATAAAAATTATATAAAACGACTTAGTTGTCTGGTAAAGAGGGCGGCGAATTGTTTAAGTATCAAAAGGTATAAAATTCTGTAGGAAAAACCCCGAAAATAAACCAAAATATGAAATACGCGTGTTTAAAAGCTTAACATAAAGCTTGGCGAGCGGAATTCTATAGAGAAAACAAGGATTAAAATTATACAACAGGGTTTATGGCAAAAAACTGTATCCACAGAGGAAAACAAATACATTAAGTGAAAAACGTTGAAAAAGCGTACCTTAACACAATGATGTAGCCGGCGATGAGGGCAAACGAGCCGCCGGCGGTCTTGAACAAGTCGCGGACGGCTTCTCGGCGCGACCCGAACAAGATGCGCTGACGGTTGGCCAAGAAGCGGTAGCCCTGCAGGAGGTGGTGGCTGATACGCATCTGAAAAATGGAAGAATATGTGAAATTGCTACATTAAAAGAATATAGCCAGAGGAAATCAATAGTTTCGCATAACATAAACGTTATTTTGACAAGATTTCGCAAGAAACCAAAAAAGGATGACGCAATGTAAAGACAAGGTATCGACGCGTAGTGGATTACCGTAAGCCGCTTACAAAAATTGGAATACGGATAATTTCGGAACATGAATTCTCTCAATTTGAAACGGCGCAAAATAAAAAGCAACCTCCAAAAGCAAAACGAAAAAGAACAAAAGAAGAAGTGAAAGAAAAAGCTTGCAACATGAAACAAAAAAGCAAGTTTTTCAACGAAAGATACGATTCTTTGTGTAGTCGGATATTCAAAAGCTTCAAACGAAATCATACACCGAGGTAGAAACAAGCGAAAAAATAATTATGCTTTTCGGCAAAAGGCAGGTGTTTGAAAGGACAGTGGCTGCATCTTAACGCCGAAGAAACCAATGACTTGAGCCCAAAATGAATTTGTAGCAATTGTTTTACGAATTCTCCAAATTCAAAACGGTTTTAAATGGATCCGATTATATACGAACAACCAATTTATTACATTTTCTCGATGAGAACATCTTTTATCCTCGGCAATATCATAAATTTGTTTGTTTTCTATATAATCTTATTTCAATCCCCGCGATTTATGCGCCGATATAAATACTTTTTATTGTGGTATCAGGTATGGAAATTCAGTTAAAAATAGTCCTAAAATAACCTAGTTTTGGTCGATGGCCTACGAGAATTTCCTACACGCCCTCGAGCCACAAGTATTTTTCCCAGCGATGCTGATCAAAGGGACCGGCTGGATATATACCGTTTTTCACGTGAATATTATTACTTGTTTTGTACGTTTTTGCTAAAATAGATTTATTATCGTGTATAACGTTAAAAATCGAAAAATATTTTTGTTCTATTTTGTGTTTTTAGCAAATTGGCGCTTGCTTTACTTTCTTTTTATTGTTAGGCACGTTTCAATGTCTAGTTTATCGACATCGACAAATATTACCGGCTAGACATTGGCTCCGGTTTGTTCTTTGCATTAAATAGCTATAAAAGCCCCTTAAACGAGGAGGTTACCTTTTTTTAGGGTCAGATGGTGGGTCTACCTACTAACGCTTGGCCTACAATCCGCTGTATTTCTCAGCCTGATTTTGCACACTTTATCGCTGGCCCGAGCTGTACAAGGAAACAACACGGAAATCATGACCAGTATCATGCGGGTGAGAAGAGTTTCGCTTGGTCCAAGCACACCCTTTTCTAGGAACATCCGCAGTATAAATTTGCCCTTGCTGATCCGGATATCTTTGCCGTGGACAGTACACCAATTCATCCGATCTTCGGAGTATCCCTGGAACTCGCCACAGCCTTGCTCATCGCCGCCATGGTGATCGAAGTCATCCCTGTGGTATAGCCTGATTTGGTTTTAAGGGGGTTCGGAAGTCAAAATTCGCGAAGGCGAGGACTGCCCCTACTGGTCAAAAAACGAAAGGGTCATCTCAGAAACCAGAATCGAGTACTACAAAATTAATTTCGTGACGACAAACGTAAAATATTTGAGTAGAACCGAAATATCTTGGGCCGAAATTGACATTTTGAGCGCGCGGCGATTACATGTCGAAATGCCCTATGAGGCATCCGATCTCTCGATCTGGGTGATTGTCTGATCAATTTTCATAATTAAAAAGTCTAGAATGATCCAATTTCGATAAGGAATACAGAAATAGCTTCAGAATGTTTAGATACAAACGTTTTCACGTCCAAACTGGGGCAAAAGATCATGCGACGCGGTTGCGGGGCGATCGCATCTGGCTATCTGCCAGGAATCAACGCAAGGGGCCGTGGACCAGATTTCGGAGCCCCTTTAATGATGGTTTTTAGGGTGCAATGTGTTTGGCGCACTCATTTTGGCTGCTGAGTGGCGGCACGCTGTTCAGCCCGAACACCCGACGGCTGCAGATGAAGTTAATGTACGGACTGCTGGTGCAGGTACGCGAATGTTTGGAACCATCCGGTGGAAGGGTAAAAGCGTCAAAGTCGACGTTGCGGCTCTAAATATTGCTTTAGATGGCCGTACCACTGGTGACAATAGCAATTCCCTGGGGCTTTTTCGCGGTTGTAATAATTCTCGATTGGGCAGTTAGTCCAGGTGATTTCCGGGAAACTTTTGTAAATTGCAAATTTTTGCAGCCACCCTCAACTTTTGGTTCTGGCTGGACGCTGCCCATGCAACGATCTCTTCAATTACGATGGCGCTTTATACTGACCCCTACAGGAAATATATATGGCATTTGGTCTGGTATAGGAGGTCAGTTCTAGTGCTGAAAGCTTAGAAATAAGTTCGTTCTAGTAAGCCGCCCTCTCATCGGATTCGTATTGCCGCCACGTCCGTTCTTGGTACGGATTCAGGCGTAGCCCCTCGAATACGCAAGCAGTCCATGTTTCGAAATTATGTTTCCGAAAGCCCAGCCTAGATAAAATGTCATCTCATTTGCGAGAATAACATCACTGACGGGGTGTCCGGAAAAAAGACCCCCAGTAGCGGTCCGGAGGAAACTCGGATCGGGGACCCTCAAAATGACGAGAAAACAATGCTTTTCTTTATACAATTTTTTTTAGCCCACGCTCCATATTCACCGATTGCTTTCAAAAAGCAGAAAATGAGCGTCGTCCTGTTAGCTTGAGCGGCTACGGTTTACTTTACCGCCCCCCCCCCCCAAGCCGGAAGTTTTTGGCTATAACTTTTTTATTTTTACATTATTGTAGGCTCAAATAAAAACTGATAGTATATTTTTCGACGCTAAATCAAATGGCGTTGCAAAAATCCCGACAAAATTAGCAAAAATACCGAAGACTTTGAGACCCTTCGACGGCGCGAGCGGCGAGGGGGGGGGGGGTAAAGTAAGCTCTTACCGCGTGACCGCTCTTACATGCGAATTTGCATAAATTCTTCAGTTTTCGCGGATTTTGGTCCCATAAGTTATATAATCTTTGTTAACTTTCATAAGATCTCATTATCGTTTATCCCTTTATTAATGTTCATTAGATAGTTGCAGGGAACGACTCAGCGGGATGCCGACCAAAACTTGGCTTGTCGGTGCCGTACGTGGAATTATTCTAAACAAATAAGCAACTGCAAGTTGTTCTGCAAACCGAAATATTTTGGCGATCTTCGCAAGCATATGTCGGCGATAAGAATCGGTGGTTGCTGCCAGGATGGCCGATCCGATCATGGCATGGCACGAGTTGATGATCATGCCACAATTGATGATTGCTGGGGGAGCTTGTCGCGCGATCAAACTTGGCCGCTTACCTGGGTCCCACGAGAAGCCAAAAACGAATAAAAATATAAAATACGACCAGGGCACGGCGATGGTACAAATCGGAAAGACGATCTGAAGATACGGTATCTGACTGGACTGTGGCCTTATCATGCCCGGAAAGATTAAAGGGGCTCCGAACTGCCAACTCAAAGCCCTTTTGGGAGGGCTCTTTCATTTCTGGCAAATTGCCAGCGGGCGCTGCGGGACAAGAGCCCTCACTCTTTCGATTTTGCGCGAAGTTGGTTTTGCCCGGTTTCTTTGTGAAAACACTATAATTTGCGCATTCTGAGCCGATTTTTGAAACCCTCACTTAATCCTACCTTATATAATTTTGGCGTGTATCTTTGTGTGTGTGGATGTCAGTTTCGAGACGCGATTTGAGGGCCTTCCCGTGTCCAAAACGTCCCAATTCTCCGTCACTTGGGGGAATCGACCCTTCTGTTTCCGATCGCGTGTTCAGAATTTCGATAAAATACAAGTTTACAAAGTTAAAGCTGGTTTTACTCATTTTTGGGGTTCATAATGTGAAAAAAATACAAATTCCTCATTCTTGCAAGTTGCACGCGCGCGTGTGGTCGGACGGGGGGAAGGGGTCCGAAGGACCCGAGCTATCCGGAAGGCAAATTTCTCATGCAAAGGCCACATTCCAGCGCCCAAGGCCCGCGAAGCGGGTTTTGGGCGCTGGTTTTAAATAGTTTTGGTGTTTTAAGCAACAAATTTGGCCCAGAAACGTCCGAGGATGTGATTTCGCGGTGACAACAGGCAATTTCAAATTAGCGAGCTTCCCGGGCCCCTGGGTGTACAGAGGCCTCCGACGTCCTGGGCTCCGATTTTCGGGCCGTCACTCAATTTTCGGCATTTCGTAGCCCCTTTACGGCAGTAAAATTTCTTAATACCTGGTATATCAAAGATACAATCAACCTTCGGTGCAACTTCTTTGTTTGGCTGCTCATCGAGGTGGAGGTGCGCAGTATGTGAAAACAATGCGTGAGGACCACCGTGCACTGGAATCCTGGTAATTCTGGCACAGCAGGAGTGGCCAACAGTATTTTATGAAACTCTAAAAAACTGACGATGATCAGAGCTTCGATGAGCATGAAGGCAACTAGGCCGAAGCAAGTGTCCCGAACCGAAAAGCCGAGTAGCGGAAGTGGCGGGCTGTATACCGCCCAAAAGCTCGGCTCGGCGGCTTTTACATAGGCGAAGGCGGGAAAGTTCTAAAAATAGCTATCTGGCAGGGCAAACTATCAAAATATCACTAACGGAAGCTCGGATTTTCATAAGATCAATTTTTCAAAACCGCGAATCTTCAAAATCCCGAAGTTTCAGAATCCCGAATGTTCAGGATCTGGAAATTACTGTAGTCTGAATCAAAAGTAGGCGCTTCAGGAACTGGACTCTTACGCTCATCCAGACTGTAAATTTCGAGGTTCTGAAAATTCGGAATTCTGAGCATTCGAGATTGTAAAAATTCGGGATTTTTTCGGATGGAATTTTCGCCTATCTGGTTGCCGACATTATAATCTCTGGCAGGCTGGCAGTTAATAGCTACTCTGCAAATGCAGAGCACGTGCATGCACGAAAGGCCACGTGGACCTCTGCACGAAAGCCCACGTGCAGGACATGTCCACGCACGTGGCCCTTCGTGATCTGCACGTGAACTTTCGTGTTCTGCACGTGAACTTTCGTGTCCTGCACGTGGACTTTCGTGTCCTGCACGTGGGCTTTCGCGTCCTGCACGTGGTTTGCATTTGCAGAGTATGGCAATACCTCTATATTCAACTCCATAATTCTGCCAACCCCGAATTCCTGTTCCATGTACGAGGCCGAGAGGGCAAAGCTGCCCTGGATGAGCACATAATGCACTCCGAAAAGCAGCAGCCACGTTCGGGTTCTCAGCCTTAACAAGGCGATTATGATACTTACTTGACGCTTAGCGGCCGGAAAATGGAGGACAATGGCCGTCCATGCCCACCTTGCCGGATGATCTGTACCCAAGATCTGTCGATGCCTGTATAAGACGCATTGGAATATTGCCATGCCGAGATTCATGAGCAGCTCTCCAGCGACCGTCTATAGGGCATCATCGTACACACAAAAAAGACTGACAAAAGCAACGGCGATACTGATGCCGAAGATCGTAGACATCGGGCCCCAGAGCCGGGCCATGAGAGCCGGGAAACACATCTCGGCTTTGACGCCGTGGAGCAGGAGCTCGGTGGCTACCGACCACGACTGAAATGCAATAAAATTATTCTTTTTTTATGTACAGGTCCCTATAAAATGCCCCGTTAACTGTAGGCAAAAATATCGGATCGGAATGGTAGTTCCACCATTTGAAAGCGCTTGGAATGGCGAGTTTGCAGCAAGCTTCAGTACCATGTTTTTATTCAACACGCTATTCAAACCATCTTGGTAACATTTTGCGCTTTTCAGGTTGCGTAAGAGCGAATTTGCCTCAATTTCTCCAAGCAAAAAGAACGGAAGTAGTCTTTAATTAGATGCCGACGCCGTTACTGAATGTTTTTAAATGCGTTGTAAAATGGCGCGTTTAAGTAAAAACATGGTTCTGAAGCTCGTTGTAAACTCGTCATTTCAAGGACTTTCGAATGGTTTAATTATCGTTCCGATCCGATACTTCTGCGTCGAGTTAGCGGAAGTGCTTTTTTATTGAGATACTCTGTAGCTTTGAATTCTGCTCGTAAACGTTGCGTTTACCTGGTACCACATTAGGAAATATTTGTATTCCCTCATCGGAGCTGGAGAGGCGAATATAATCAAGTAAAATGCGACTCCATTAAAGAAAAATCCAATATACAGCGATAGATCCATGGCGACTAGAAAATAGGTCGGATGCCGATCCATTAGTATGATTTCCGGGGCCAAATGTGTGAAAATTTGCAGGTGCCATAGATGGAGCGAGTCATTTCATAATGATCTGCAGTCCGCAGGTGTCTTTGTGCACATACTTGCTTAAGTGCGCCACCGCTACCTTCCAGGCAAATCAGAAGTTGAAGAAAGCAAAGGTTTTGCGGGAAAGGTTACTCAAAGCGAGCTTTTACTCCCAATGATATTTATTGGATTGGTTGAAGAAGTAGCTTGAAAATTCTTGGAGAACTTCAATATCGTAATCGTTTTGTTGCAACGCGCATTTTACAACGAATTTTAAGAACATTAAGGAACGGCTTCTGCATCTAATTAACGGCTGCTTCCGACGATTTTACTTACAGAAATTAAGGAAAATGGGTCGTATACAACCCCGAAAAATTGCAGAATTTAAGGAAATTGCTTATAACACAGCCGGTAGCAATGAAACAAGGTTTTGAAAATTGTTGCAAACTCGCCGTTTCAACGGCTTTCCATTTAGATAACTATGTTTCCAATCCGATACTACGATACCGAAACCTTTGTGCTTTAGGGCTTTGAATAGAACTTAAAGACTTTTCCTGGGAGCACTCGGCGTAGGAAAATCATTTTCCATTTTTACGCTTTTGAACAGCTAATTTTTTGTGTGATTATATCAGTTTATTCGGAAGATCCCACCGCTTTCATTATAATTACAGGATCGCGCAGAGCAAAACCATGGATTTCTGGAAACTCCAAAAAGCCATGACCGACAAAAACATGACAAGAACCTGGCTCTTTCCTTAATTCATGGGTTGGATAAAAGTGCTGGTGTTTTCGGTTCTTTTCACTAGCGATGGCATAGACTTCCGGGGTCGATTAATCGAGGAAACTTGAGAGAATGCATCCAAGCTACTGCCCATCATTTTGAGCAGATGACCTCGTAGGGTGCGGTTGACAAGTATCGCAATCCACGCTTCGCTGATGGTTGAGACGTCAGAGACGAGGTTCAGCTGGAAAGTAGCTGTAGGAATCGCTAGATTGTAAAATGGGTGCCTTAAATTACGCGTTTTTAGGCTTAAAGAGAAAACTTACCAAGATTATTCGCGTGTCTATCGGAAAGCTCTCAGCTATGCCGAGGAAAAACTAAAAATTTGCTGTAG